ATGTCAATCGATAGAGAATAATCCATTACGCTTATTTTCATAATGTTTCAATTCTATCATGAACCGTTATGAAATAAGAGCAAAGATAACTTTAATGTAAGTATACTTTGTATTTTGTTTACATTTTGCGGTGACAACGAAATGTCGCTTACATTAAAATGTCATATTAGCCCTACGGCCAATAATCGGGTACATAAGTGCATTTTTTTTTTTTTGATTTAAACTGCTGTACAATTTTCAACAAATGAGATATTTAGATCGATTTGTTGATGAAACAGTTATACAAAATTCCAATTTAGAGTTATAAGATCAATAGATTATTAACCGTGGTATATTTGTACCCAATCCAAATTTAGTGTTGTATTTAGTTAAAAATTGTTATAAATTAATCTGTGGGAATCTGAGGTAGATGTAAGTAAAAGTAAAGTAATAAAAATTGAATAGATTAAGTTGAATTGTTGGAAAAATATCAAAACCAAACATTTAGGTTTAACTTAATCCCTTGCATAAATATATGTGGAAATGAATGTGGTAAATATTTTTCGAAGTTTGATCGATAACTCATAAATTAATTTTACATCATTTTCGCGGGATGGGCTCGATATTATTCTGTCCATATATTCGAACATATTGTATACGATTGTTATATATCTATATGTATATATATAAAAGAGCTTAGTGTTAAGTGAGTGACTGACTGACAGATCATCGCCCAGACGAAACGGCAAAAGCTAGAAGCTTGAAATTTTGAGTGTGGGTTGTTGTTGGTGTGTAGGCGTGAGATAACGCTGGGTTTTTGGAGATTCATACTAGAAGGGTACGAAAAGTACTAAAATGTACCAAATATGGTACCCCTTGTATTAGGCGAACGGGAAGAGCTAGAATTCTGAAATTTGGCATGTGGGTCACTGATGGAAAGTTAGAAAGATGTACAAAAGGGTTTTTTGGAAATTCGACCTATAAGTGTACTAAAAGTACTAAATTTAGTTCTAACTCTACGTATATTGAACATACAGTGGTGGTCACGTCATTAAAACATTTATTGTGGTAAACATTTTTTGATCAGCCCTCGATTCGTTTGAAGTATTTTTGTAAATTTTTTAATTCAGAACACTTCGAAATACTGCACTTTAGAGATTTAGCGTGAAAATAGAAAATTATTGCATGCCATTTTTCCATAAATAACGGTTTTCATGAAAATACTTCGGCTTTGAAGTGGCCACATTATTAAAACATTGTGTATTTTTTTAATTTACTGCATTTTTTTGAAAATGTTTTTGAAATAGCTCTTTAATTTAGTTAAATTTTGTATACTAAGCACCAATAAAATCATTTACAGATAAAAATTTTTGAAAAAAAAAACTGTAAAATCTATCAAAATGGCCAAAAATTTGTACAGTACACCTAACATTCAGAAAATCACCTTTATTATAGCAAATAAAGGTCCGAATGCACTAGAAATTGCTAGAATTAGTAGAAAACAATAAATAATTCTCAAAATAAATAAATATTTGAAATAAAAACTCTAAAAATTGGAATTAACCTAAAGGAACGATTCAACTTCGATAGCCTTTATTGAAGAAGGCCAGAATATTTTTGCAGTATGTGAGAAAATATCGATCGATATTGGCATTTATTATATCAAATCGATTGTTCGAGTAGTAGAGAATATATTTTATCAAAAAATATATCAGTCACAACAAAACGAACAGAGATCAACGCCTATGTTGACGAGTAAAAGTTTCTGGCACACATTACCATGTTTGATAGTCAACTCTTGACCCTTAATATCTATTGAACATGACAATATTTTTCCAAAATAATATTTTTTGAATATAATAACTTCCACTTAATATATTTTAGCCTCAAAGAAAAAAATTTTACAGTTTGACAAATATTTGAAGTCTTGTGTTGAGCATCATTTTCTCACATACTGCAAAAATATTCTGGCCTTCTTCAATAAAGTCTATCGAAGTTGAATCGTTCCTATTTGCATTTAGTTGAGTGTATATAGATGGAATCCTGAAAATCGGAATTAGGACTACTGTTGGAATTAGTCGTACTGTTTGTGTACGAAAAGTACTTAATGATACTAAATTCGGTGCAAGTTGGATTTCGGTTCACATGTAGAGCTGGAGTCTTGAAATTGGGAATTAAAATTACAGTTGCAGTGTAGAATTGAGGTAGTTTTGGAAATTCGCACTTATTGGTACGAAAAGTACTAAATCGTACTAACTATAGTACAGTACATAAACGGATGAGCTTAAAACCTGAAATTTGGAATTCTGATTACTGTTGAAGATTGAGCTATAGGGACATCTGTGGAAATTCGTATTTGTGTATACGAAAAGTACTAAACGGCACTAGATATGGTACAATTTGGATTTGGGTGAACGGAGAGAGCTGGAAACCTAAAATTTGGAATAATGGTTGCTTTTAGAATATAGAATTAAGGTATGGAAGCATTGTACGTATGTGTACTAAATGGTACTATATTTGGTACAACTTGATTAAGTAAATAGAGTTGGACTCCAGAATTTTGGAATTAAAATTACTTTTGAAGTGTAGGATTGACGTAGTTTAATTATAGAAACAAAAAGTACTAAATGGTACCAATGGATAGGGTTGAGATCCTGAAATTTTGATTAAATTAATATTACTGTTGGAGCGCAGGATTGAAATATGTCAGTAGTTTTGAAAAGTTCTCATTTCGTGTACTAAATGGTATTAAATTTGGTACAGTTTAGATCAGAGTGAATGGATAGAGATGGAAAACTTAAATTTAGAATGCAAATCACAGAATTAAGGTAGTATTGGAATTTCGTACTCTTGGATACGAGAAGCACAAAATGGTACTAAATAGGGTACAATTCGTTTTGTGTGAGCGGGAACCCTAAAATTTGGAATCAAAATTAAGGGTGGAGTGTAGGATTGGGATACGGAGGTTGTTTTGAAAATGCATGATTATGTGTACTAAATGGTACTAAGTTTATTTAGATTGAGATAAAAAACAGGATGGAGACAGTGTTGAAAATTCAAACTTAAAGTACGAAAAGTACTAAATGGTACTAAATATGCTACAATTTGGATTTATGTGAACGGATAGGGATGGGATCCTGAAATTTATGATTAAAATTACTGTTGAAGTGTGGTGAACGGGTAGAGCTGGAATCCTTAAATGTGGACTAAAGGTTATTATTGGAGAACATTACTGGGGTAGTTTTGGAAATTCGTACTTATGGGTACGAAAAGCACACAATTTGGTACAAATTGGACATTAGTGAACGGGTAGAATTCGAATCCCGAAAGTTGCAACTTAGGTTACTGTGGGAGTGTAGATTTGATAAACTTTGGAATATGGGTACGAAAAGTACAGAATGGTACCAAATCTGGTACAATTTGGTTTTTGATGAAAAGGCAGAGCTGAAATTCTTAAATTTAACTTACGATTACTATTTGAAATAAGGATTGAGGTATATTTGGAAATTCGTACTTATGAGTACGAAAAGTACTAAATTTGGACTTTGGTGGAATTATGATTACCGTTGGAGAGTAAGATTGATGTGGTTTTAGAAATTCTTACTTATAAGTATGATGGTACAATATTTGGAACCATTTGGATTTGGTTGGATCCTGCGATTTGGAATTTAGATTACTGTTGAAGTGTAGTATTTAGCTATAGAGATAACTATGGAAACTCGAATTGATTTGTACGAATAGCAAATAGAATAGCAAATGCACTAAATTTCTATTTCGGCAACGGAATCACATTATATGCATAGAATCACATTCTATGTCGATTTATGCATGTCCGTCTGTCTGTCCATGTTAAATTGTAAACAAAGTACAGGTCGCATTTATGATTCGAAGTGGATGAAATTTGGCATACGTCACATATTTGGCCCAAGGACGAACCCTATTTAAATTGGGAAAAATCTGTTCAAATTTAGATATAGTTCCCATATATATTTTAGTCCGATTTTAGGTAAATAGTGCACCAAACTCCCTATATATCCTTCGTTTACACGAAATTAGGCACAGCGGGCTGAATTACGTCTAGAACGATGTGGGCTAAACATCGTGAAAATCGGTTCCGATTTAGATATAGCTCCCATATACAACTTCTTCCGATTTAATGTAAGTGATGTACCAAAGTCCCAATATATCTTTCGACATGCACGAAATTTTGCATGGGGTACTTTACTACTTTCCTTACTGGTTTTATTATGTTTAATGGAAGTAAGAGAGATTTCGGAAAATAGTGCTTATTTGTATGAAGAGTACTAAATCGCAAACTATAGTACAACAAATGTACAGTATTTACAATACCATATGAAATATTTTGTGTATTCCCTTTCTGCATACGAATTAGCGGGCACATTGTTAGTATATATATATATATATTAGACAGTACCTATTCCCAAAACGTCTTCTTTTCCCAAAAAACTATTTCGAATATTTAAAAATAACATCAAACAAATGCATATCATTTTTTAAATAATGTTGTTCATTCATTGTATATTTTTGTAGGTTTCTTTTCGTTTTTTCTTCTTCTTTTTAAAAATAATATAAAAGTTGTTCATTTCAAACAGTTTATCAAAAAGTAAAACTTAAAATTAATAATTAAATGAAATTATAAAAATAAAACATAAAATATTTTACATTGGTTTTGTTTTTGTTTTCTTTCTTTTACAAGATGTATCCAAAAAGACGATACACTATTTACATTCGGTTCGGTGTAAATTTGATATTTTTTGTGATGAGTCTAATATTCACACAAATAGGACCTGAGATTTCTTCTTCTTCCTCGACGTTTACGAATAATAAATATATTTTTATTTTGTTCGGGTTATATTTAATATTTGATTCGTTTGTACTTTGTTGCTGTTGACGTTGTAGAAAAAGAAGCGACGGTTTCATTCGGCCAGGTACTTCAGATTAATTGAGGTAATCAAGTGTTTGTTTTGTGGGGGAAGGAGGGGGCGTTGTGGTGGGTAGCGTTTTTAACGCGTGCAAGCGCGTTTTATTTCGTTTTTCTTCTATGCCTTTGAGGAACCTTGAAATTGGAAGCAGCATTTGGGCCAAGCCACATGCGATACTATGTCACATGACACCGCGTTGTGTCCTACGTATCTGTGTCCATCGTCCTTAATAGCCGTAGAGGTAGGGATACATGGGCACAAATATGGCGGGTCCCAGTTGACGTTCTTGTGGCATATGGGTCTTCATGTGCTTCTTGAGGTGATCACGGCGTCCGAACTTCTTGCCGCAGGCAGTGCAAGGGTAGGGTCTGAGGCCGGTGTGAATACGCTTGTGGCGTGTCAACTCTTCGTTGCGTGTGAATGTCTTGCCGCAGGTTTCAACGTCGCACTTGAAGGGCCTTTCGCCGGTGTGGATGCGAATGTGTCCCTTCAATTGGCCATTGTTGGAGAAGGCAACATCGCAATGGGGGCATTTGAATTTCTTTGGGCGTTGCTTGCGGGCATTGACGGCTTTCAGATGAGCCTCCTCGGCCATTACACGAGCGTATTCCTGTTCCATAATGCTCAAGGCATAGGGATCCAAGGCATAGGCGGCAGCTGCAGCAGCGGCGGCTGATGGTGAAGTAGTTGATGCTACATTTGGTAATCCAGCAGCGGCGGCTGCAGCATAGTAAAGGTCACTGGCAGATGGAGGCATCATGTGCATGGCTGAGGCAGGATGCATTGGGTTCTCCAATGAACCGTAGATGTGAGAAGCTGGAGGAGCGGCATAATTAAGAGCCTGTGGCACCATATGAGCGGTTGTAGTGTTGACCGATGGCGAGGAGACATCCATTTGCATGCTGTTGTTGAAGCTTTCGTCATAGGATTTGCTGGATGAACTGCTGGACGAGGCACATTCACGATCGCTTTCATTGCCACTGAAGGACAAGTTTTCAGCCTTGATTAGTGTTGAGGTAGATGAGGCTGACATGTCCTCGGTGGAGGAGTTATATTCCGATTTTACCAACGGCTGTTGGACTGGTACTTCCTCGGGTGTTTTGTTGGTTTCGTCACGGGAACTACAATCCCATGGACGGAATAGTCGGGAGTAGGTTTGTGGTGGATGCATATTCAAGGTAGACATGTTGTTGTTTTTTTAGTTTTTAATTAATTAACTTCAAAAAAAAAGTTTTTTAATGTTGTTCGTATTTTGTGTGTATGTATATGAAACACTTTCACTGTGATTTTTGTTTTCAATGGTTTGTATTTTGTTTGTTTCGTTAAAATCGTTTGTGAGATGCGTATGTGTTCTCGTTAAGATCCGTGGTGGAACTGATTCACTCAATGTTTTGCGCACAGTATATAAACGGAGACTGTGAAGAGATTGCCGACAGGACTACCTACTTCGTTCATAGAGATGTTTTGTGTTATCCTCATGGGTGTGTGTGCCTGTGTTTATCTGTTACCTAGGCATAGGCTTACTCGTGTACACGCACACACACACTCTCGCACAACATTACTCAATCACTTGGCTTAGGAAATTCCCTGTTAGCCAAAGGAAAATCGCCCTGATTCATATTGTCTGTACATCGGTGTGCCTGAATGTGAGTGAGTGTGTGTGCGTATAAGTGACTGAACACGAGATTGTGTTTGGCTTCATTCATGGATTTATTTACCACAAATCCATAGCATGGATTCGCCCGTTGGAGAGTGTGTTTGTGTGTGTATGTGCGTTAGGCTATTAGAGAAAGCCCTTGTTTAGGGGTGTCTCTTTTGTTGTTGTTTCTGTCGTCGTTCAGAATAAGATTTTAACAATGGCTTCCCATTTTTAATAGCAGACATCGCGGCATCATTGTGGCTTGTTGGCTGAATATTTTCTTGGCGTAATAGTATTTTTTTCATGTCGGCGTTGTTGTTGTTTATCGCCCCGTTTTACTTCATTTGATGCAGAGTATTTATTAAATGCACAGTGGTTTAATTGTATTATGAATATAGATACAGTATGTCCCAATTTAGATTAGGCGAGTTTACTTGCGACAAGTCTTTGTTTGTAGGAGAGAGGGGCAAGGGGTATAGAAATGAAAAAAAAATTGCTCGTACCGACAATTTTCTGGCAATTTGTTTTGTGTATTTCGTATTTGTTGACATTTTATACATATTTAAATGTGAAAAAAACAACAAATAAAAAAATATTTTGGAAACCGAATCGCCTTGTATAGACGCATGGAGTAAGTTCAAAAGAGAACGATAAAAATTGCCGCAAGTAAACTCGCCTAATATAAATCAGGACTATATATTTTTTTGGGAATATTGTATTGATTGTAAAGTTGACATTTTTCTCAAAAATGTCGCAAATAATATTATCTCTCAAGGAAACGAAGCACGACCCAAATTTTTTATGTTTTTATTAATAACATAATTTGTTGACATAATTTAAATTTATATGTAATTAATTTAGGAAAAACTAAATACTTTGTTACAAGCTATTCTAAGAACCTTATAAAAGGGGACCTCCCATTCTCGGTGTCAAAATTGTTTTTATTTAATACGAATCTAAATTAATTCAAGAATGTCCCTTTCAACTGAAAATCTCAAGAACTCTTGAAGATATAGCCGATTTATTGTGTCAGCATCAAAAAATAATACACAACTAATTTGCTTTTAATTTGATTTGCGAAATTTTAATAATTTGGGCAGTTGAACATTTCTATATTTTCCCGAATTATATTTTTTATACATATACAATAAATTATTTATTAGTTTGTATTAAAGATGAATGATTTGAAAATTTAGTAAAATATTAGTTCTGTCTGTTTACTCGATATTTGGTAACAATTGTTACCAAATGTTACTAAATGTTGTCTGTTCACCCAAAAATTCAGTAAAAGAGACTCAAGTGAGAGAGCAAGTTTGACAGTTCAACAACAACAAACTTACTGAAGTTTACTGAAAGAATTTTATGCAGTAAGATTTTGCAAACTCAGCCATTTTTGGATCAGCTGTTTTATGTCCAAACACAAAAAAATTTTCAAAACATTTTTTTTAATTTACAAAGTTCAATTAAGGGAACCCCCCATTCTCGATTTTAATTTTTCAAGATATTCAATGGCTGGTAAATCAAAACCAATGCTTGTTGAGATTTGTAACTTTGCACATATATAATTGAAGAATTAAAAGAGAAGAAAAATAATTTACAATTTACAAAAAAAAATTGTTATTGTTTTGTTGTTGTTTTTTCTAATTAAAGAAAAGTCCTTATTTTTGATGGCGGGCATGATAACTCCTCACTGGAACATCGGAATCCGAAAATTCCAACGGTGTTAGAAAGAGTACATGTCTGGCTCTCGTATGAACTAGGATTATAGACTTCGCTCTAAAATTAACAAAATGGTGGACCTTTGAAAAAATATTTTTGGAAAATCGCCGATTTTTTACCAAAAACCAATTTAAAAAATAAGGAAGATCTTCACCGATTGGCTTTATCCTAGTTCATACGAGAGCTACACTCCCAGAGAAACGTTGCAAAATTTGGAACCGATTGGACTATTAGTTTTTGAGTTATAGTGCCCGCCATTCGCAAAAAAATGTTTAGAGAAAAACTCGTTTAAAGTTTGAGAAGCCCTTCAGCCGTCACTTGATGCTGACGCAATAAATCGGCTATATCTTCAAGGGTTCTTGAGATTTTCACTTGAAATTTTGTAGGGACATTCTTTAATTAGTGTAGATTCGAATTATATCAACAAAATTTTTGACCCCGAGAATGGGGGGTCCCCTTAAGTGGTATAAAAATTACAGAAAATGGAAGAAAATTCGTAAATAATGCAAAGTTTCCTTAAATCAGAAACTAATTCCTTATATATTTTCAGCAAGTTCCAGATAGAGGGCAATGTATTGATGCAGGAAGCTTAAATGTTCCCGGGGAACATGCCAAATCAATTTTTCTTTTATTATTCATTTTATTTTTAATATTAAATGCAATGCAAATAATTGTGTTCGTGCTTTGTTTGTTGTTTATTTGGGCACATATTAAATGTTTTCTTAAATCAGCTGTTTATTTGCTAAATCTTACTAAATGTTGTCTGTTTACTTTTCTCAGTATTATCGCAAAAGAGAGTAAAAAGGCTTACTCTCTGAACTAGAACTTACTGAAGAAATGTTACTGGAAAATTAACCAGACACACCTATTGATTTTCTACCAATAGTGGGAACCAGTCGGCATGACAAGTTCCTATAGTCGGCATGTCGTATTTAAACTAAAGAAAAAAATATATATTTGATCGATTGCGTTATTATTAATAAATTGCTATTAAAATACTTTTCCATCTATATTGTTTCAAAAAAGTAAAAGAAAATTAATTAAAATTTTTCTGCTGATATTAGAAAATAGTTATCCAATACTCTGCATGGTGTTCACCTAAATAGGCTTGAGACTATTTTGGAAACCACTGAACACTGATTTGAATATATCAATGTTGTCAATATTTTTCTAATTATTTTAAATGTATGAAAAAAATATGGGTGAAAAAATATTTAATTTTAATATAATTACGAGTCTTTTGAAAACGAAATGCCCATTCATATTTTCTTAAATTTCATGAGAAACTAGAGATAAGTGTTGAAAATACCTCATTGACAAAATGCTAAAATTTTGCTGATTTGCTAATTGGTTGATTTAATAATTAGGTTCAAATATTGCTGAAGTTAGTATTTATTACCGTTGGCATTCGATGTATGAAATCCAATTTTATGATGTTTAACTATAGACTTAGAAAGTTATTTATATTGTTTGATTTGAACAAATTTGCCATTCAAATGTGACTGACAATTATGAGAAAAATCTGTACCAAATTACATATTTTCTAATCGAATCTAAAATTCAAGATCATGGACCCAAAATGCCAATTCCGACATAGACATTCTAATTATACATTTTAAATAATTAAAATGTGGTAATATATTGACTTCGGTCGCAGAGAAATTGGCAGCGAAACATAAAATTACAAGAATTGGATTAATAAACCAATTAAAAAATTAGTGATCGGGGCAGTAGATTCGTACTGGCCCGTCCATATGATACCCTACACAACTAGCACTGAACTTTAACATTCTTCTGAGCAAACTTTCATTTGTTGTTCTCTTACATCGATAGAATTTATATCTGATTAATGATCAACCATCATCATCAAAAACCACTTTCAAAATAAAAGACTCATATCTAAGATAATAATGTTTTCGGGTATATCGAACCAAAAATTTCTGACTTTAAATTGTTGAAAGTGACTTCATATTGGTTTCACTGTATATCGGATATGTGTACAAAAGTTGGTCGTGGTCTGTAGTGGCTTAAGATGGGAACATCTTTCCTTAAATATCAGACTAACTTTATATAAAGTACATCCTATTATTTATATAATTCGAGATAGGAAACTCGTTGCCTTCGGTTCTTTTTTGAATTTATGTTTGAGTATGAATACAGCTTCAATCCGCATTTCTGTTTATTTTACACTTTTATTTATATTATTTTTTTCACATTTATTGATATATCATGGTCCAAATATAATTCTCAAAATTCTCAAAAAGAACTAGCTTTTAAATGATCCATTTTTTGGTAGTAGTATGCAGTAACAATAATTAATTATTCCTGGTTTGAATAACGATACGCTGATACGATTGATATAATGTTATATATAATAATTTTAGAATAAGCGGTAATTAGCCTTTAAATTTATTGTATACAAATATTTTTAATTTATTTCCTATAAAACACAGTCAATACATGCCATAGCCAATATTAAATTCCTAAAGCAGATACAAAAGATTTAACGCAAAACATATAAAAAATATGAAATGATTTACCAAAAATCTATCAATAAACTCAGGAGACTTAGACATACACATATACAAATTATCTATGTATTGTGTGCGTGTGTTACAGTGTTTGCAAAAAGGTTCGTGTGTATACAGATATCGCCAGATATCATCTCTTAAAAACATTAACATTTTTCCCAAACCTCCTGGTTTCATGGGTCTACACCACCCCACCCCTCCACACAACCACACTTACTGAATAATGTGTGGCGACGTTGGCCTACCGAAAACGACAAAAGCGCCGTTATTAGCCTTTTCATGGCATTTGTGGCGTAGTCCTATTAAATTGTACGAGTTTTTG